CGTGAAATCACAAGAGCCCCGTACACTTGAAGAAGAAACCCCAAACAAAAACTAACATGTTGGAACATGTATAATTACTTAGAGCAATTTTTGCCTGGCCTCAGACAATTGTCCTAAGGTAGTTGGTACGTGAGCTGTACAGGGAGCCACAGTGACCCACCTCTTTGATTCTTGGTGAAGCCATGAAACCTCAACCCAGAGCCTCCCTCTTACTGAAGAGGATAGAGCTGCCCAGGGTCTGCAGATCCTATGTGGCCTGGGTAACCCTTGCAGAGAACCTGGAGCTCTACAAACATGGATTCAAAACCATGCATGCTGAAGGCCTTAACTCTGTTTAACATGTATCCTGCGGAGATGTCCATTAGGCAGCTGAAGTAGAGAAGCAATCCCTGTTACCAGAGAGGCCCAGCTGTGACAGGAGCCTAGCCTTGGGGACCTTGAGGGCTGGCCCTGGATCACCTGGTCACAGTTCCCTTAGGCTCATGGAACCCTAGAATCTTTTCTTACCGTTAAGGCCTGGATGGCTTCCCACTCCTGCGGGGACTGGATCTTGTGGGCCAGCAAGCGGGTGGCAAGTGGAGGCCTGGATAGAAGGAAGAGAGTAATGACTGACATGGTACCTGACTCACTCAAAAGGACAAGTCACTAAGTTAATTTGCAACACTTCAGGCTTCTACTGGCCCTGTGAAGCACACACAAAGGCCCATGTCTCTCCAGATCAAACAGGCCCTGGGATGATGACAGCCAGTACCAGGCACCCAGTGTAGGCAGGGATCTTCAAGAGGTATAAGTTTAGGCCCCTTGGCTTTAAGAACTATTACACGGGCCTGGAGATGTTGCTCATTGATAGAGTACCTGCCCAGCATGGGTGAGTGAGGCCCTGAGTGTCCCTGGCCTGCACAGGGGAAGGTAAGAACAGGGGACCATAGCCTGAGTGCTAAGGCCATGCAAGGTGGCTCACAAGCACCTCTACTCCTTGCTTTCCTTGGTGTCAGGAAGACTCCTGGAACCCCAACATATGCAGCACTGCCAGTGAATGTTACAGCTGTGAATAGTGAGGCTTAGCGGTCAATGACTGGCCCAAGACTAGTCAGAGGAGGGACTCATTTGCCCCATAGCTCATGAACCCCCCAACCAAGGGCTGCTGGAAAGAAGTACCTGCTCTGGGAAGGAGAGTGGAGGAGAAGCACACTGTGACTCAGTCCCTGTGACCCAGCGGCACCAAGGAGCCTGGGAAATGTCCAATTCAAGCCCTCAAGGAGTCATTTCTAGGGGTGGCCTACATGTCTATTTTAGACAAGCATTCCAGGTAGTTCTGGTTCTTTTTTACATGACGGACCCATTGGGGAGGGTATAGTCTGTCCTCTGGAAGGCCCCAATAAACCATCAGCCACATGGTAGGTTTAGATTTGATCAAGCTTAGGACTGCCGGTGAGAATCAAGAGCAAACGGCTAAGCCTCAGTTTCTTCATTTAAAAAATGGGCCCAGAAAGATTCCCTCAGATGGGTGGCATATATGTAGCCTCCAGCAAAAAGTGCCACTGTCTTTGTTAACTGTGACTGCATTTAGAATGGAAACTGGGTCTCTAGCCTGCCCAAGACCAGGTTCTGGAGTGTGCACGACAGGGTCACAGTAGGTTTTGTTGAGTGTGTCCACCAAGTGGAGCCACCTACCCCTCAAAGTCTTCGTTGAGCTGCTCGCAGAACCCGTTGATGCTGGCCCAGTTCAGCTCCTTGTTCAGGGGATTTGTGGCTCTGTCTGTAGGAGCAGAGGAAGTCAGTATGGGCCAGTGGGATTTCTGCCTCCCTTTACTCCTCCCAGAAACTGGCAGGGTCAGGAGGAATTGAGCGCATGGTAGTTTTCCCTCCACTTCCTGCTAGACAGCTGCAAGCCTGAGCACCAACATTCCAGCAGAGTCAACGCTGCTGCTCACCTCGCCTTCCCACCCAAGGGCTCCATCTCAGAGCCTGCACTCAGGGAACACCTTCCAAGGTTGCATCCCACCATGCTGACTTACTGTCTCTGTTGTGTTCAAAAGAACAGTACCCCTACTCTTCTGGAATCTGTACTCATGAGATTTAGGGGTAAGGAAAAGGTCAAGGTCCCGGCCCTTGAGGAACTGTAGGGCTGGTCAGTGGGCCAAGAAAAGCCAGGCTCCCAAGAAAAGGTGACTGGCCAAGAAACCATAGGAACCCAGAGCAGGAGACTCCAGTCAGCCTGGGGTCAGAGCAGCTGCCCAGAGGAGGTAACATTCCAGCTAAGTCTGAAAGGAGTTAACCAGGCGGAGGGCTCATCTGCCAAGCTAAAGACATGGGCCTGGGAAAGACTGTACCCTGGACCTTGTGCCTAGCTCTGCCAGACCTTGTCCCTGGAGAGTGGCTCAGGGACACCTCTTCTGATGGTCCTCTCTGTCCTTCTGCTCAGGGTGGTAGTGGCTATGTCACTGACTATTCTTTACTGTGGGCCCAAGTGGACTATTAGACGGTGCTACTGTGCACCCGTCACTGTGAACACACCTATCTCCCCTCAGTGAGAGAATGAATGGAGGCTGAGGGATCAGTAGCAGGTAGGGTGAGGCTGCGAAGTTGGAATGTAGGAATGAGCAATAACTAGCAAAGAGGAGCGTGGTCAATAATACCAGACAATCCCCTTCTTGAGCCCCCAACACTGGCTATGTGAAGATCTAGTAGGTAATACAACCTCTCTGAACCCCCATTTCCCCACCTGCAGAGCTGAACAAAACACGAGGTTAGATGAGAAACACCTTGTGCATGGTGAGGCTGCAGTGTCTTTATGATTCCCAGACACTTCTGCCCATGCTGGGGGTACAGAGGGTCACAGCCTAAGAGGTGAGCTGCGAAGGATCTATAGACAGGAGGAAGCTAGGGCCCAGTATGTGGCACCTGCCCAGATGGGGACCCATGCTATGTCTAGAGGCCTAGACACCGTAGTGCCTGGCAGTCATTCACTTGATCCACATTTACTTTACCAAAAGCCCTTTGTTTAGCTCAATGATCTAAACAAAGCAGCACTGATTAGCAATCACGGAAGGGGCTATAAAAGGCAAAACAGGCAGAGAGGATGGAAAGTAATGGAGTAGGCTATTCTCTCCTCGGTACTCAGAAGCAGCATTATCTTGGTATAAATCTATCCCATGAGCCTTGTGACCAACAGAAGTCACCAGCGAGCTCCCAGTGACACCAGGAACATGCCCTGCTTTCTTGGGGAAGGTTGAACAGTTATTGTCTCCCAGTCCCCCACAATGGCCAAGGACTCCAGCCTGGAGCCAGGGAGAATGTCTGGGGTACAGGCCTCTTACTGACAGCTGGGACAAGGTCTAAAACAGGAAGTTCTTCGAAGTGTCAAAAGCATGTGAGCTCCAGGGAGGGTGGAGCCGTCAATCTGGAGTCAGGAGCCAGGGAAGAGGAAACTCTGTCCAGGAAACTGAGGATCTTAAAGTTGGAGGAGAGAGGGCCCCTTTCTTTCCCGTAGCCTCCGCCTGGGGAGGGGTGCATCTCCCCTGGCAGGTGTCAGTGGAGAGTACTTGAGGAGGGAGAGAGGTGTTTCACAACTGGGCATGACTTCTGATGGGGAAAATATCTATGGTCCTTCCTAGAAACTACCCTTTACCTCTGACCTCTTGAGACCTGTGCAGCTGTAGCATCTCAAGTCTACAGCCAGTGAGTGTCTTCTTCCACCAACCCCCTCCCCCCAAGGCTGACTCTAATTCCCCCAATGGTGTAGTTTGGAATCAATCTCCCAGTTCAACTCTGTTCAAGTCATGGTGCTGACCACAGATCCGTGGTGTACCTGAGGCCAAGAGGTTCAGCTGAGGATAGCCCCATCCAGAAAGGCCTTGGGAGAGACCTGTCACTAGATGGACAGAACAGAAGAGGCAGCCTGCAGCTCCCTGGAGCACAGTCTAGGAATGGGGTTGGCAAAGCCAGGCTCTTCAGCAGGGTGGGACAGGGAGAGCAGAGGGAGGGGCGGGGGGCTTGGAAGCCAGAGTTGTAGGAAGCTGTTTCTGAGGAGACAGGAAACAAGGGCAGAGGCCTTGGGAAGAAGCTCAGGAGGGGCTAAGAAAGCAACCTGGGATGTAGAGTGAACCTGGGCTGGGTGTAGTGACAAAGAACTTGGATTTCTTCACGGAGTCCGAGACAAGACCCTTCCAAGCTTAAGCACTTAGAGTTTCTCCCAGCATTGCCTGTGCTGGATCAGATGGGCCAGGAGTCCACCCGTTCCTAGACCCGGGGAAAGAGCTGATCTGAGAAGAGCTGCGGATACAGGGAGAAAAGACCCAGGCCCTGAGCTAGTGGGGTCCCTCAAGGGGAAGACTCGAGGGGCTGCTCTTCGGTGCAGCAGTCAGGGTCCTGAGGGGGTGGGGGGGTGTCTG